CACTGAGCCATCTCACCAGCCCCCTGATTATCTTAATGCAAGGTTTTATTATCATTATCATCATCATCATTGTTATTTTGTATTGAGTACAGGCTCTTTTTTTTTTTTTGCGGAACCGGGGATTGAACTCAGGTCCTTGCGCTTGTCAGGGAAGCACTTATTCCACTGAGCCATTTCCCCAGCCCTTAGTACAAGGTTTATAGGGTCTCACTACACAGATCAGAGTTGTACTGCTTCTCCTGTTTTTAGCCTCCCAAGTACTGGGATTACAGGCACATGCCACCACACCCAGTATTAATTGCTGTCTCAGCACTCCCTGGGGGTAGGGCCAGCACAGCACACTTGATCAAACCCTATCCCTGCATCTGCCTAAGCAGGTGCTTTAATCTGCCGAGCTATCTGGCCAGCCCTATGGTCTTATTAATGAGATCATTTCAAAAAATGTAACTAGTGAGTCAAAAGAAATATAAAATTTAAGGGATCTGAAGTACTACCAAACTATCCTCCCAAATGTACATTCTACAAATAAGCAGACATATATTAATGTTGCAGCAGAAAATGGCCATGTTTGGTCCTTCATAGTCAGGGAGTACCAGAACTCTACCTCTTGCACAATAAGGACAAAGACTCGAGAGATGTGAACCTTAGCGACTCAAACTGTGTCTTTTAAAAGTTGGCTAAGGGCCAAGGAGATAGCTCAGGAGAATAAACACTTGCCTGACAAGCACAAGGACCTAAGTTCAATCCCTGGTTCTGCCAAAAACTAACTAACTAAATAAATATATATAAAATGTGGCTAAAACAATTTAATACCACCTGGAAAGACTGGTTTCATTTACATATTCCTACCAAAATACTGATAATTGTTGTAATAAAACATGATACTTTGATTAGACAAATTTAACACTATGAACATGTCAATTGTCCTTCTATTGGAAGTTTTATTTCTCTCTAATCTTTGTATATTATTTCCTTTGTTTGGATTAAAAAGTAAATATCCATATCTGGTTTCTGATTGCAGAATGTTTTTTCTTTCTTTTTTTTTTTTTTTTTTTTGGCAGAACTGGGGATTGAACTCAGACCCTTGTGCTTGCCAGGCAAGTGCTCATTCTACTGAGCCATCTCCTCGGCCCCCAGAATGTTTCAAAATTTAACCAATAAGCACAAGATTCACTACAAGTTTTTTGTTTATACATCTAAAAGATTAAGAATTGACTTACTGGGCTGGAGAGATGGCTCAGTGGTCTAAAGCACCTACTTGGAACAAGCTTGGCAAAGCACAGAGACCGCGGTTCGATCCCCCAGCACCACATGCCAGCCCAGCTGCGCCCCCTGGTGGGCTGAGCTGTGCGCGCGTGCGCGCGCGCGCACACACAAACACACACACACACACACACACACACTAAATAAATGTTAAAAAAAAAATTAAAAGAAGAATTGACTTACTTAGGAATTACCTTGGTCGGGCTGGCAAGATGGCTCAGTGGTCTAAAGCACCTACTTAGAACAAGCTAAGCTAAGCAAAGCACAGGGACCACGATTCAATCCCCCAGCACCACATGCCAGCCAGCAACGCCCCCTGGTGGGCTGAGCTGGCCACACACACACACACACACACACACACACACACACACACACTAAATAAAAAAAAAAAAAAAAAGAATTACCTTGGTCAGGCTGATGAGATAGCTTTGTGGATTATAGTGAGTACTTAGACAAGCTTAGGCAAGTGCAGAGATGGCAGTTTGAACCCTGGCACCACATGCCACACCAGCGCTCCTCCCCCCCAACCCCTGCAGCCTGAAAATAGGAGAATCACTATGAGTCTGAGCTGCATAGTGAGACACTGTAACAACGTATATTTTAAAAAGAATTGCCTTGGTGACTACTTTGTAAGTTGTTTTCTTTTAAAACATTAATTATGAGGCAGGAGGATCTCCATGAGTTCAAGGTCAGTCTGGGAGTGAATTCAAGGCCAGCCTTGAGCTGCATAGCAAGACTTTGTCTTTTTTTTTAAACAATTTCTTTTCTTTTTTTTTTTTAACATTTA